TCTCTTCCTACCATGTATCATCTAACTCGCTGGTGTCTTTTTTTTTTTCTCTCCCTCACAGCTATGGGGCCTACAACACCCAATCCAGCCAAGGGGGCTACTCTCAGCCTCCACCTCAAGGCTACAGCCACCAGGGCTATGGTGGTTACGGCCAGTCGGGGGACTCGTCGGCATACGGCCAGAGTGGGGGCTACAGCTCGTCCTACAGTCAGGCACAGAGTGGTACGCTGCAGTTCAGATCAGAAGATTGTACTTCTGTGGTTTTATTGCTCACCCCGGGAGGCATCTGGGGCTGAAGCAGTGGGATTATCTGTTGCGCTCTGCTCTGCTCTGCTCTGCTCTGAGAGCAGGTTTCTTGTTGGTTCTGGATAGGCAGATGATCCAGCCAAGTCCTCCCCCATCATGGCCTGCCTTGACTCGGGAGCTCGGTTTCTCTTTAGGTGGTGACATTAACTGCCGAGTGGGCGATTTCACTTTGCGGGTGTCTGTCTGTAACAGGTTGTGTTCCTTCATGTTTTGGCAGGTTACGGGAGTCAGCCTCCCTCTCAAGGGTACAGTCACTCCAGCCAAGGAGGATACGGTTCAGGGAGTTACAGCAATGCCCAGGGATCCCAGGGTTCGTACGGGCAGCAGTCCTCTTACCCCAGCTACGGGCAGCAGCCAACCTCCACCTCATCAAGCAGGTGAGCTCTCAACAAAAAGCCTGCCTCCCTCTGTATGTGTATTGGGGGTGGGTGGAAGGACAGTGTGTCTAACGCAATGACCCCCCCAGTCCCAAGTGGTCAAGGACAGTGCATCTAACACAACAATCCCCCAGTCCGAAATGGAAAAGGACAGCGTCGTCTAATGCACCGTGACCCCGGTCCCGGGGCTAAAGGACAGCGTCTTCTAACGTACTGACACTTCTTTATTTCTTCCAATCGCAGCTATGGGGGCTCGAACTCGCAGAGCTCCTACGGGCATGCCCAGGGAGGTGGTTACGGCCAACAGCAGGGGTCCTATGGCCAGCAACCGAGCTCATACAGCCAGCAGGGGTCCTACGGCCAGCAACCGAGCTCGTACAGCCAACAGCAGGGATCCTATAGCCAACAGCAGAGCTCCTACGGTCAACCCAGTGGCTATCAGGGCCAGCAAGGAGGATATGGCCAGCAAGGACAGTTTGGTGGGAGCAGTGGAGGTGGCGGCGGTGGTGGTGGAGGAGGTTCCTCAGGAGGAGGTAAGTTTCAGGAAGGCAGACCCACCCTCTGTGTGGAGGAGCACTTTTTACTGCAGTTTGTAACTGGTCTGTTTGGATTAATTTTCCCCTTTTACCACCCATTTCCCTTGGAGACCTGAATCTGTCCCAAACTGAAATATGTTCAATGGTGAGGCCCTCGCTTTGCTCCAGTGTTGAGAATTCCTCTTCCTGAGTGAAGAAGTTGCTTCTGGTGTGTCTGAAATGCTTTGCCCCTGTTCTGAGTCTGTTTGGGTTTTTATTTGGCCTTGCCCCATGCTGGGGGTGTTGTAGGAGGTTGGGTGGGGGGGGGGGGGGGGGGGGGGGGGGTGTGCGGGGAAGGGGGCTGGTGTGACCTCTCCATATTGAGATCACTATGGAATCTTTTGCATTTTTTTTTTTTTGAGATCACCTCCCCTCCTAATCACCAGAATATATCAACCCAACTCCGACCTTTGAGTATCGGGGTTGGGATGTCCTGTTGAGGTTGTGCAGGAAGTTGAGACGTCTTCTGGAGTAGCGTGTCTGGTTTTGGTGTCTCAAGGATATTGTTGGAAAGAGTGCAGAAAAGATTTACCAGGATGTTGACAGGAATGGGAGGATTTGAATTATCACAATAGACTGGAGCTTACTGAAGCGCAGGAGGTTGAGGGGTGACCTCAGGTTTGTAAAATGGAGAGAGGTGTAGATAAGGTGAATGGCAGGTGTCTTTTTCCTCTGGGGTGGGGTTTTCAAAACGGGGGGCATATTATTAAAGTTGAGAGATTTAGAGAAGACATGAGGGGCAATTTTTCTTTTTAAACAGAATATTTTGAGAATGAAAGGAACTTCCAGATGAAGCGGTGGCTGTGGGTACAGTTAGTATGTCCAGAAGACATTTGGATAAGTACATGAATAGGAAAGGTTTGGAGGGATATGGGACTGGTTTTAGTTAGAGATTACCTTTGGCGTGGACTGGTTGAACCGAAGGGTCTGTTTCCATGCTGTATGATCCAATTCAATGCACTGCCCCTCCCTCCACCCCACTTGCATCCTGGGCGCTCTTGGATTTCCATTCTGCCAAAGTGGCTTTGAATCTATCAAGCTGCATCTGAGTCTAGGGTTTGGCATTGCTTCCCAAAACAGGTGGCTGTGATGAAACGAACAGGAAGACTAAACTTTGCACGGTGGGGACTGAGCCAGATCATGTGTATTGGTGGCCTGTGAACACTTGTTGGCTGGAGTGTGACTCTGTAGTTGGGTGCTATCAGATTGGCATTGAGACTGCTTTGCGATCAAGCATGTGTGCTGTTGACTTTTCTACTAGACTGATCTGGGCTTTTAATGTCTTCCCTCTCTTTTCCTCCCTCTTTCCCGCCCCCCAACCCCCTTTGGCCATGGAAGGTGGGTACAACCAAGATGCCAGCCCCTCGAGTGGTTATGGGAGCCAGGAAACCGGCAGCTTCGGAAGCCAGCAGGATGGCCGTGGCAGGGGCCGTGGGGGCTACAACCGCGGGGGCGGCGGTTTCGAACGTGGTGGCAGCGGTGGAAGAGGAGGTCGTGGAGGTCGCGGTGGGGGCATGGGGTAAGGGTCAGCACCTACGACCACTTTCCTGCTTCTTGTTTTGAAAAGCAACAAACGAAATAGTGTCGACTAACCTCTTTCACTTTTTTGGTCTGGGGTGGGGGATGTAATTGTGGGGGAGGGAGAGTTCAGTTGCCCTCCCGATCGCCACTGAGGGGCAAGGATCATGCATTGTCTACAGCGCTTATTGGTAATAAGCAGCAAGCAGGCCCTGCTGTACGGTTTTAACTGGTGTTTGGGAGAAGTCGGGCAGATTCTCTGTTTACGGGGTTTCTGGCTTTAGAATCTGTTTGGAGGATGTGTAACGTTTCACAAAAGTTGATGTATTTCAATTCCCTGTTGGTGGTTTCGAAGGTTTCCATTTCTCACTGCGTGACGAAACAGCACTACTGAGGCTCCATCCAGCCTGTTTCTGGTTGGTGCGTTGACGTGTCTGTGTGAGTGTGTATCTGTGTGCATATACATATATATATCTCTCGCTAATCCCTTCGTGGTACAAAAGTGACCAGTGGCGGCCATTTTCCAGGTTTTTGACATGAGACAAGGTTCTTTCTCTTGCACATTTTTTTTTTGTAGTGTCATGGCTGCTTGCGGGTTTGCTGTGGGCTGGGTGTGTGGGGAGTCTCTATTTCACTGAGCAGGAGCTGGTCACAACCCGTTAACTGATGTGGTTGGGGGCTGGGTCTGAGAGAATTCATGCGTGCATGCGCATGAGAAAGAGGTGGCCAGTGGCAAGATAGTCCAACGGGCCTCCTGTACTGTACGGTCTCTGTTCGGCGAAGCTCTTCCTCCCCTGCTCCGGGTCACCGACCACCATTCCAATGGTGTGCCATCTCCCCTTTCCCTTCCTCACTGGGATTGGCGGGGGTGGGGGGTGCAGCTGGTGTTTCAGTCCGGACACAGCCTTGTGTTGGGAGGGTTGGGCACCGCAGCTTTACCAGTTGCACCCAGGCCTGCTGTCGCACTTGGGAGTTGATTTGGTTTTTGTCTATTTTTCTTTGAGTACTTCCCCCAACGGTGAGTATGTGGTACGCAATGGAAGCCAGTGTCTTTTATTCTTTGAATATGTAGATGTAAAGAAAGAGTGCTTTCACCTTGTTTCTGATGTTAACAAATTCTGCAATTTTGTGTGTCACAGGTTTCAAAGTGAAATGAACTATGTCACTTCTCCACCCTCCACACTAGCTTTACATAACAAGTTTTTTTTTTTTGTTGTTTTGGCTTTTGTTTATAAGGCCCCAAGGGGAGGGTGAAGGGTTTAAGAAAATGCATGTTTTACACTAGGTTAAAGGCCATCACAAATTAGCCTGGTCAGTCGGTTATTATTTCTCTTAAAAGAAAACAAAGGTCAATGCAAGTCTTAAGGATGTCTTTTCCACATACACACACACAACTCTGTTGTAGCAATGGTCTGTGTTTGAGATATGAATTACAAGGTAAATGAAAGACCAAGTGGGGTGTACTTTACAAAATAGATGCACTGTGGTATAGATCTGAGTGCCACTTGAGTCCTGTATTAAACGTACTATATCGACCTTCTTACTTTTAAACACAAAAACTGGATTGAAGGGCTGTTAACGGTTAAATTCTGGCTTGAGCTTAGGTCTGCAATTGTCCTTTTTTTACAAGGTTTGGTGTTAGTCAAATACATTTTATGATGAAAATTTTGACCAGTTAAGGGTTTTCTGACGAACTGGAAACAAAATCTCAACAAAAAGGAGATGGTTTCGGTGCCATTGTCGCAAGAGGTCTGGTTTTAAGGAAGAAACAAAATGATATACGTATATATATTCCGTAGAACCTTAAGCTTAAGTTGACACACGACACACTCTCACGCACACGTTGGAAAAAAGCTTCAAAGTCTTCAAATTTGTCTCCCCAGCGGTGGTGACCGAGGTGGATTCAATAAGTTTGGTGGTAAGTGAAGAGTTAAGCGACTCCAAAAAGCAAAAAAAGTGGAAAAGTGAAACAAAAGTTTTATTGATATAAAAATGAAATGTGTTGCCATCTGTGAACCAAAGCCACCATGATCAGGATATAACCTATGGGAGTGTCACTTGATGGGTATCGGATGGGTGTGGGGGGGAGGAGTGGGGGAGTGGGGAGGTGGATTCAGTTGTCTTTCTACCATCGATGCAGTCACACCTACGTGGCTCTCTCCTTGATTGCCACGGGGCATTGAGTGTTAATACTTCAATCTGGGGCTGGATGGCAAAGTTAATAAGCACGTGATACTTTTCAAAAACCAACTTTAACTTGGGTAATAGTGTTCTTGAAGTCCATGTATACATACACCAGTGTTTTGCTCACCATGAGAAACTGGTCAAAACGCTACCAAGTAATGGGTTATATTTTGTAACGGTTGTTGATTTGGTTCCGTCAAGAGTCTCTTGCCCTTGCAATGAGTTCATGAAATTTACTTTCTTGGTCTCTACACTGATTATTAGCATTAGGCTTCCTATGGGTTATTGGTGAGAAGGATTTGGTATGTGTTGCTTTGCCTGTGCGCGTGCGCACGTGCCCCTACACCCCTTTGCTGTTTCTCTTCACCTGGGGTAGGGGAACAGTGACACTCACTTCTATGTTGTGTGTGTGCCTGTTTTCCCACCCTGCTCCCTAGAGAAGGGGTGGGTCTGGGTTAACCTGGGCTCGGTGTAGGCCTTGGCTTCCAGCTGTACGCTGGCTCTGACCAGAATGTTTTGCATGGAGGCTCTGGCCTTGCAAAGACAGTCTGCTTCCCTATCTCCCGCTGCCCTGCTCCTTGGAGTGCAGTTCAGTGATCTTGTTGCAATTGTGGCCTGAATTGGGGTGGGGGGGAGGCACATCCTGTTGCTTTTTCAATTTGATTGGTTTTAATGTTTATTTCTATTTCCATCCTCTGGTTGTGGGTGCACCAGCCCGAACGACCTGTCCCTGGGCATGTTGCCGAGCACAGCTACGGTCTGGGGGCCAACACCTCCACAATGTGGGAACAGGATGGTAAGGTAGACGTGTGAGGTTTAATATCCAAACCGTTGTGCCAGTTCTCGGGCCCTAATGAAGCTGGCAAATGGGTGGTTGTCTGGTTATCCTGATTCCTTTCTAAAAGGACGCCTGTGTGTTAAGTTTGTATGTGTGTACCGTGCATGCCCAGTCGATGACCACATCAGGTAACTATGTAGAGGGGCGAGTTTGCTCGCTGACCAGAGTGCTGGCATTCACAGGCCTCTCCCGAGAAGGCTAGACCTGTTCTAGATCACCAAGAGTGGACTCTCCTGGTTTCTCACGGCCTGTTCTGTACCAACATATAGGGTGTTTTTTTAAAACACATGAATCTGTTTGAAAAATGATGGTTAAAATTTAAACTGTGCACATTTACATCTTTAAGACGTAAGCTTTAATGGTGTTGCAAGATGGATGGCAAATGCCCAATGTGCCAGGAGCACTGCTTAGCTCGGAGTTTGTAACAAGAGGTCTTTGAAAACTGTTTTTATTTTTTTTAAAAAGTTGCCCGATGGGGCTGACAAGTTTTGAATTCTAAGTATGGAGAATGCAAATGTGTTCTAACTGGTTACAGATCAGTAGAGGAGGCAAGGTTAATTTTATCATTGTTATTCATATATATATATATTAAAATAAAAGAACTGAACTTTGGGTTCTGTGTGCTTGATACTCAACTAAGTCAAATGGTGTTGTGATGGAAAATGAAAGGTTGTATTTCTTGTGGGTTTGGAATTGATTTTCTTTCAATGTAGCTGATTTTGCTTTTCTGGAACACAGGTAGAAGGTTTCTTTCCTCTGAAGTTGGTAAATGGTTTATTTGTTTGTTAATGCCTTGGATCTCAACACTGTTGCATTGCCGGTCTTGTTATTTGTGATTTTTTTTTTGCTGTCGGGGTGTGGCTGGGCTGTTTGTTGAATGGAAGGTGATGCTTTCTCTGCTGAATCCTTTTTTCTCTCTTTCACATTGAAGGCCCGAGAGACCAAGGACCTGTTGCTCCGAATCCAGGTAGGGGAACACCTATTTTACTTTCTTCCTCCTCTTTCTGTTGAGGTTTTTAATGTTTGCATAATGATTGACTAATTAAATCTCCACCATCTGCTCCCCAGGATCTGATCAGGATAACTCCGACAACAACACAATCTTTGTCCAGGGCCTTGGCGATAACGTGACCGTTGAAACAGTCGCGGATTTCTTCAAGCAGATTGGGGTGATCAAGGTGAGGGGCCTGTCTTCCCGAGCGGTGAGGTCCTCGTCCCTAAAAGGGCTTTCTGGTTTCGGCCCCACCAGGCATTTCTGACCGGGGCCTAGTGCCAGAGGATGTGGGAGAGGGCCTGGGTTTCCCCGAGTTATCAAGGATGGCGTAGTTCGTTCCCAGTTTGGGCACTACCAGAAGGAAACTTCCTTCAGCAATCTGTTCCACGTGTTCCCTTTTCCTGGTCTTGATGGCGTGGATTTGTCCTTTTTCACCCCCTTCCTTCCTTTCTGTCTGCAGGGGAAGAGACTTGGAATTAGGGCAAGGTGGGTGAATGCAGGAGGTAGCGTTTCAATTTGATCGGGAAAGGGGATGGTGTGGTGAGCTGGTGGAGAAGAAAGGGAAGTGAGGTGCTAAGGCTGTGATCCGAAATGGTTAACCCACTTCCTGTGTGGCCTACGCAAGGCAGTGAGTGAACAAGGTGGAGGAGTAAATGTGGGATTAGGCGTGCTGTTCTTGCAGGCGGACAAAAGTCAAGTAATTACCCCCCTTTGTCATTTACCCCCTGCCTCAGGTGAACAAGAGGACTGGCCAACCGATGATCAACCTCTACACTGACCGAGAGACTGGGAAGCTGAAGGGAGAGGCCACGGTCTCCTTTGATGACCCTCCTTCTGCCAAGGCAGCTATCGATTGGTTTGACGGTGAGTAAGCAAGCCACCTGGGTTACCCCCTTCGGTGGCTTCACTCCCACCCCATCTCAGTCCGAGCCAACGGCTGCCTTTAGATCCCTAGAAAAGGGAGACGGTTGGGGCACTGTTGGTTGGTAAGTTACGACTTTCATCACGCTGCAATTATGTTAATCTGAGAGTTTAGCTCTCCTACAATGTAGGAGCAGAATTAGGCCATTCAGCCTATCGAGTCTGCTCCACTGTTTCTCATCACCATTCTCCCTGTGACCTGCGACCAAAAATCTTATCTCATCCAGCCAGGGTCATACCCAATGGAGTGATGTTTTTTTATTTTCCCCCCTTTCCTTTGTCGGTGCTCAGGTGTTTACTGTGTCGTTCTTTTTGTGTTTTGCAGGGAAGGAGTTCAATGGAAATCTGATTAAAGTCTCCTTCGCCACCCGGAGAGTGGAGTTCAGCCGAGGGGGAATGAGAGGTGGAGGAGGGAGAGGAGGCGGCGGAGGGAGAGGTGCTTTGTCGTGTTTTAGTAATGTCATTTTGTCTGTATGTACCTTTGTGTTTTAAAGAGGAGGCAAACTGGCCCCTGTCAGGACAGAAATTTGAGAAACAGCAGCTTTTTTTGTCATGATGTGCTTTTGTATTTAAGTATACCAATTGTTTGTTTCTGGGTGAGGTATAGCCGCAGACCATGAGCAACAATTGAATCCTGGGTTTCTGTCAACTTTGGGAAGAAATGGTGCTGTTCTGCCTGAAATGTACCTTCACTGCTGCAGCAGACAGCTCCCTGGACACTTCAGTTCCCAGAGAGTGAAGTTATTAAGTTATTCTGATTGTGAGCTCCTGGGCCTGGTTGCTGGTGTAAATCAGAGTGCATTTCAGGATCTTCAGCAGGGGGCGGTGGGGGTGGGGGGAGGGGTAGCTATTTCACAGCAGTTGCGCCCTGTTCAGATTGTTGCCGGCATTTTATATTTCTGTTTTGTTTCTGCTGTTGCTTAGCATCGGCAGGCCGTGGGGGATATGGCGGCGGCGGTCCTCGTGGTAGCTTCTCCGGCGGAGGTGGGGGAGGAGGCGGAGGCGGATCTGGTGGGGGTCAGCAAAGAGCTGGAGACTGGAAGTGCACCAATCCGTAAGTAGAACCAGTCGTGTCCCAGATCCCAGCTGTTTTGGGGGGTGACACCCCCCCCCGCAATCCCCACAAGACCGGTTGATTGATTGGTTTTTTGTTTTCTCTCTCTCTCCCTCGCCCTCTCTCTCTCTCACTCCGAATCTTGTTCCCCTTCCTCCCTCTTTTGCCCCCCACCCACCCAAAAAAAAATTGCTCAGCATTCGCCCAGAGGCCACTCAGTGTTACTGAGGACCACCTCAGACACCACCCCCTCCAAAAAAAAAGAAACAAACCACCTCGGTGTGAGGCTGGACAGGGCCCAATGTTTGGGCCCGAGCTCAGGCCCAGAGAACATCCTGGGAACAGTCAGTGGGGTCGTCCCAGGAAGCACCTACCAGAGCTGGGAGGCTGCTCCTGAGAAACATGCCCCACTGCCCGGGGAAGGGTGGAGGGCGCCTGATGGGCAGGAAACCAGCCCACGGGTGTGGGAGGCCTTGGTCACAGGCCGTATCTGATTTCTCCCGTCAGTCAGTCGTACTCGGTGGGGGGGTTAGGGAGCTGGAATACCTACGGGCTGTCATCAAACGTGACGAATCTTGTTCTGTTGTTGGCAGGACTTGTGGAAACATCAATTTCTCGTGGAGGAACGAGTGTAACCAGTGCAAATCGCCCAAACCTGAAGGAGGCCCACCACCAAT